GGCAGAGAGTTCCACTGCTGAATGGCTATCACAGTCAGAAAGTTCTTCCTAATGTTCAGATGGAATCTACTTTCTTGTAGTTTGAAGCCATTGTTCCGCGTCCTAGTCTCCATGGCAGCAGAAAACAAGCCTGCTCCTTCCTCCCTATGACTCCCACCCACATATTTATACATGGCCATCATGTCTCCTCTCAGCCTTCTCTTCTTCAGGCTAAACATGCCCAGCTCTTTAAGCCGCTCCTCATAGGGCTTGTTCTCCAGACCCTTGATCATTTCAGTCACCCTCCTCTGGACACATTCCAGCTTGTCAATATCTCTCTTCAATTGTGGTGCCCAGAATTGGACACTATATTTCTGGTGTGGTCTAACCAAGGCAGAATAGACTTCCCTGGATCTAGACACTATATTCCTATTGATGCAGGCCAAAATCCCGTTGGCTTTTTTTTGCTGCCGCATCACATTGTTGGCGCATGTTTAACATGTACTGTTCTTGAGCCAGGCGTCCCCCATTCTGTATCTTTGTCTTTCTTTTTTTTTCTGCCTTAGTGGAGCATCTTGCATTTCTCACTGTTGAACTTCATTTTGTTAGTTTTGGCCAAGCATTTCTCTAATCTGTGAAGATTATTTTGAATTATGCTCCTGTCTTCTGGAGTATTGGCTATATATATTTATTCAAGAAAAGAAATCCATTCTAGATAGGAAAGGTTTCGGAGCTCAGTGGCTTACTAAGTTCATCTTCTAAGGAAGGTGAAAGGATAAAATATCAAAAGTATCCATGTCTTCCCTCGATCTTGACACGATCTTGACCTTTGGATGCAGTCCAAAATCCCATTGGCTTTTTAAGCTGTTGCATCACACTGTTAGCTCATGTTCAACTTGTTGTCCATAAAGACTCCGAGATCTTTTCCACATGGACTGATGTCAAACCAGGCGTCACCCATTCTGCAGCTTTGCATTTAATTTTTTCTGCCTAAGTGTATTTTTTTATTTTCCTTGGAAGACACCTGTGCATGAGCTTTTTTAATGTGTGGAGGTCAGTGCACAACTGATCAACACACAGTCTTCACAGAGTGAGGTTCCACTGTGGCATAGTTTAACACGACGACTGTGACTTCTCATTCTGTTGCAGCCTTCTTCCACCTTCACAGCTGTTGTAACATGTGCCATGTTATCCTCCGCCTGTTCTGCCATTGAGGTCTTTGGGTCTTCAGACTGTGCTTGGTCTGGAACCTCCCCCACGGACACTCCTGGGAGTGCATGACTTCAGTTGTTGTGCCCGCAGGTTCATTGGAAAATACAAGCCCCCTCACCACGATAAGGTGACATTCCATCAGCACTGCCTCTGGAAAATCCCACAAGCAGACAAATGTCAGCATGCTGGAAGAAGCAAAGACCACCAGCATTGAAGCGATGGTCCTCCGCCATCAACTCCGCTGGACCAACCACATTGTCTGGATGCCTGACCACCATCTCCCAAAGCAGTTGCTCTACTCCAAACTCAAGAACGGAAAACATATGTTGGTGGGCAGGAAAAGAGATTGAAAGATGGGCTCAAAGCCAACCTTAAAAACTCTGGAATAGACACTGAGAACTGGGAAGCCCTGGCCCTTGAGCACTCTGACTGGAGGTCAGCTGTGACCAGCAGTGCTGTAGAATTTGAAGAGGCACGAATGGAGGGCGGAAGGGAGAAATGTGCCAAGAGGAAGACGCATCAAGCCAACCCTGACCGAGACCGCCTTCCACCTGGAAACCGATGCCCTCACTGCAGGAGATGATGCAGATCAAGAACATGGCTCCACAGTCACCTACGGACCCACCAGCATACTGATCTTGGAAGACTGTCCTATTCGGACAAAGAGGGATCGCCTAAGGTAAGGCAAAAGTGTAGTATTTTACATTAGTCCTTCCTCATGCCACTTCCAGGCTCCTTCTCCTTCACTCTCTTCCTCTTCCCTCCATTTGGTCTGTTTCATTTCCCTGTTCCCTCTCCTCTTCTGACCATTTTCATGCCTTTCCACCTTCTCATCCCCTTCTTTTTCTCTCCAGGCCCTTCTTACTTCCTTCATCTCCAGCTCTCCTTTACTTCCACCCCCAGTTTCACATCTTTTCCCACCCCTCTTTTTCTCTTTCCAGACTTTCCTCTCCACCTTCCTTTCTTTTTCCCAATCATTTTGACACCCTTCTCTCCCTCTCTCCCTTATCAACCCCACTTCTCCTACCAACCATCAAAATGCAGGAAAATTCCAGACAGGAAACAATCAGGGCCAGCTAATACCTCCAAACAAAGAATTCCCCCAGATTGCAAGCAGCCAGGCTTTGAAGCTGCAAGGCCATAAAAATGCTAATCAAGGTGGCCAACTGCAACATTCACACTTGCCTCCAACAGTTCTTTCTCCCACTCTGGACATTCCACAGATACATAAACCTCACTTGTCTGGTTTCCAACGGGTCTCTCAACCTCTGAGGATGCCTGCCATAGATGTGGGCGAAACGTCAGGAGAGAATGCTTCTGGAGCATGGCCATACAGCCCAGAAAACTCACAGCAACCCTTTCATCCCCCCAGTCCTTCACTCCTAGGCCTTTTTCTCCTCCTTTCTCCAGGTGCCCCTTCCTCAAATCACCTTCTTGCTCGGGTTCCCTCTCCTTCTCTCTTCCTCCCCTCATCAGTCCCAAGCCCCCTCCCACTTCTCCTTTCTCCCTCCTGCTCTGGTCACTTCCACACCATCTTCCCCCTTCCTCTTCCCCAAATCAGCCCCCTTCCTCCTCTCTCTCTTCTCTCTCCCTCACCTTCCCAGCCTCCCTCCTTCAAGTGCCCTCTCCCCAAATCAGTTCAGCTCTACCCTCCATCCCTCCTTCTCTCTTCCTCCATTCCCTCTTTCCTTCCTGCTCTGACCACTTCCACGCTTTCTTCCCCCTCTCCTCCTCCTCTTCTCCCCAAACCAGTCCCAGGCCCCTCTCCCTCTTTTGTCTCCCTCTCCTGCTATGGCCACCTCCAAGCCTTCTTTCCCCATTCCCCTTTCCCCCATCAGCCCCAGGTTTCTCTTCTCTCTCACACACCTTCCCTGATGACTTCTTCCCCTTCCGTTCTACAGGCCTCCTCTCCCTCAAATCAATTTCACTCCCCTCTACCTCCTTCCTTCCTTCCCCCCCCCTTTTTTTGGCCACTTCCACACCTTCCTTTCCTCCCTCTTCCAGGTTTCCCCACTCCATCTGTTCTCTCTCCTTCGTTCCCTCTTTCCTTCCTGCTCTGGCTACTTCCCCACCTTCCTCTCGGCTCTCTTTCCGAAATCAGTTCCGCTCCTCGGTCCCTCTTTCCTTCCTTCGCTCTTCTTTTTACCTTCCTCCTATTCTGCCCACTTCCACGCCTGCCTTTCTTCCCTCTTCCAGGTGACCCATTCCCCAAATCGTTTCACTCTTACCTACCTCCTTTACTTTCCTTGCCTTCCCTTCCTTCTTTCCTCGCCTCCTTCCTTTCTGTCCTCCCTCCCTCCCTTACTTCCCTATCCTTCCTTCCTTCTTTCCTTTCCCATTCCCTTCATTCCTTCCTTTCTTCCCTCCCCTTCCTTCTTCTCTTGCTCCCTTCTTTCTTTCCTCGCCTCCTTCCTTCCTTCCCTCCCCTTCCTTTCTTTCCTTCTTTCATTTCCTATTCTCCTCATTCCTTCCTTTTCTTTCTTCCCTCCCCTTCCTTCTTTCCTCGTCTCCTTCCCTTTCTTTCTTTCCTTCTTTCATTTCGTATTCCCCTCATTCCTTCCTTTTCTTTCTTCCCTCCCCTTCCTTCTTTCTTCGTCTCCTTCTCTTTCCTTCTTTCATTTCCTATTCCCCTCATTCCTTCCTTTTCTTTCTTCCCTCCCCTTCCTTCTTTCCTCGTCTCCTTCCCTTTCTTTCTTTCCTTCTTTCATTTCGTATTCCCCTCATTCCTTCCTTTTCTTTCTTCCCTCCCCTTCCTTCTTTCTTCGTCTCCTTCTCTTTCCTTCTTTCATTTCCTATTCCCCTCATTCCTTCCTTTTCTTTCTTCCCTCCCCTTCCTTCTTTCTTCGTCTCCTTCTCTTTCCTTCTTTCATTTCCTATTCCCCTCATTCCTTCCTTTTCTTTCTTCCCTCCCCTTCCTTCTTTCCTCGTCTCCTTCCCTTCCTTCCCTTTCTTTCTTTCCTTCTTTCATTTCCTATTCCCCTCATTCCTTCCTTTTCTTTCTTCCCTCCCCTTCCTTCTTTCCTCGTCTCCTTCCCTTCCTTCCCTTTCCTCTTTCCTTCTTTCATTTCCTATTCCCCTCATTCCTTCCTTTTCTTTTTTCCCTCCCCTTCCTTCTTTCTTCGTCTCCTTCCATTTCTTTCTTTCATTTCCTATTCCCCTCATTCCTTCCTTTTCTTTCTTCCCTCCCCTTCCTTCTTTCCTCGTCTCCTTCCCTCCTTTCCTTCCTTCCCTTTTCCTTCCTTTCCTTCCTTTTCCTTCCTTTTTTCTTCCCTCCCTCCCCTTCCTTTTTTCCTCCTTCTTCCTTCTTTCCCCTCCCTCCATCTTCTTTCCTTTCTCTTTCTTCCTTTCTTCTTCCTCCTTCCTTTCTTCCTTTCCTCCTCCCTTTCATCTTTCTTTCCTTTCTTCTTCCCTTCCTCTCTTCCCTCTTTCCTTCTCCTTCCTTTCTTCTCTACCCTCCCTCCCTCCCCTTTTCCTTCTTTCCTTCCCTTCCTTCTTTCTTTCTCCCTTCCCTTCATTTCTTCCATTCCTTCCTTCCTCCCTCCTTCCCTTCCTTTCCTTCTTTCCTTCCTTCTCCTTCCCTTCCTTCCTCGACGCCTCCACCCGGCTCCCAGGTGTCCCACCTCCCCATCCCGGCCCCATTCCTCCTTCTCTTCCCTCCTTTCTGGGGCAGATTCTCCCTCTCTCCTTCCTTCCTCGACTCCTTCCCAACTGGGGCCAAAGGAGGAAGGTCTCCCAGGCGCGCCTTGGATCCAACCTCCAAAAGGCAGCAGCAGCAGCAGCAGCATCAGAAAGAGCGGAGGAGGAGGAGGAGGAGGAGGAGGAGGAGCGCAGCCAATCCCGGGCGCACCAGGAGCCGAGGCTGCGCCTGCCTGCCTCTCCTCCTTTCCCTCCTTTCCCCATCCCTCCTTCTCCCTCTCTCTCTCTGCACCTCGGGGTCCAGCGAAGGAAGAGCCCCATGGAAGAAGAAGGAGGAGGAAGAGGAGGCGGAGGAGGAGAAGGCGACCCCCGAGTGGGCTCCCCATCGCCAGCCTTGCCTTGTTGCTCCCAAGGCAGGGCCACGAGGCTTGGATTATTCTTCCCCCAATTCTTCGTCTTCTTGGCAACGTCTTGGCTTTCCCAGTTGCCTCCAGGTTGCTCCTGGTCTTGGTCGTCTCCTCCTCCGTTTCCCGGCGCTTGATCCGGATTATGTAGAGCTCCTTGGGTGTCTGCGCTTCGGTGAGTCTGGGGGGTTGAGGGGAAGGGAAGGGGGCTTGTGGGGGTCTCTATACCATGCCCTCTCCAGAAATCAGGGTCTCCAAAGGGTTCAGGTGTCAATAAATACCAACATCATCATCATCTGTGTGGGAGGGGACCTTGGAAAGAGGAAGGGGCAGGCAAGCCTTTCTCTTTCACCCCCATCCAGGCATCAAACTCCATTCGGTCCTTGCAAATCTTCAGAGTTTTTAGAAAAAATAATTGGGAGGGACCCCCAAAGGCCATCTAGTCCAACCCCCTTGTCTTGTAAGAACCAGCTGCCTAATACTCCACTTAATCCTTCACTCCTTAATAAACTACAGGTGTCTTGTTAAAGGCTTTCAGAGCTGGAATCACTGGGTTGTTGTGAGTTTTTTGGGCTGTATGGCCATGTTCCGGAAGCATTCTCTCCTGACGTTTCACCCCCATCGATGGCAGGCGTCCTCAGAGGTTGTGAGGTCTGTTGGAAACTAGGAAAATGGGGTTTATATATCTGTGGAATGTCCAGGGTGGGAGAAATCTAGCTACTAGTATTAAAAAAAACCCTCAAAACCAGGACAGTAAACAAAGAACACAACTCAGAAAACAGATGAATTCCAGGCATGAATCAATCACAGCCAGCTAACACCTCCCAACAATTTATTTATTTAAACTTTTATATCCTGATCTTCTCACCTCCGTAGAGGGACTCAGACCAGCTCAGACCAAAAAAGGTTTACCCCAGACAGGAAGCAGCCAGACTTTGAAGCTGAAAGGCTATTCCAGTATTTTAAAAACCCTCTAAAACCAGGACAGTTAGCAAATAACACAACTCAGAAAACAGAGAAATTCCAGGCATGAATCAATCAGGATATAAAGAACAACAGGAGAATTCCAGACAGGAATCAATCAGGGCCAGCTAACACCTCCCAACAAAGGTTTACCCCAGCCATGAAGCAGCCAGACTTTGAAGCTGAAAGGCTATTCAATGCTGATGAATTGCAACATTCACACTTGCCTCAAACAGGCAAGAGTTGTGAGTGATCTGAGCTGTCTGGCCATGTTCCAGAAGCATTCTCTCCTGACGTTCCGCCTGCATCTATGGCAGGCATCCTCAGAGGTAGTGAGGTCTGTTGGAAGCTAGGCAAGTGAGGTTTGTATATCTGTGAAATGTCCAGGGTGGGAGAAAGAACTCAGACCTCACAACCTCTGAGGATGCCTGTCATAGATGCAGGTGAAATGTCAGAAGAGAATGCTTCTGGAACATGGCCATACAGCCCGAAAAACGTACAACCCAACTCTTGTCTAATCACCTCCTAATAAAGGATTCCCCCAGGCAGTAAGAAGCCTTGAAACTGCTAGGCCATTAAATGCTAATCAAGGTAGCCAATTGAGACATTCACACCTGCCTCAAACAGACAAGAGTTCTTTCTCCCACTCTGGACATCATTCCAGAGATATATAAACTCCATTTTCCTAGTTTCCAACAGACTTCACAACCTCTGAGGATGCTTGCCATAGATGTGGGTGAAATGTCAGGAGAGAATGCTTCTGGAACATGGCCATACAGCCCATAACAACTCTTGCCTGTTTGAGTCAAGTGTGAATGTTGCAATTAATCACCCGGATTAGCACTGAATAGCCTTGTAGCTTCAAAGTCTGACTGCTTCCTGTCTGGGGTAAACATTTGTTGAGAGCTGTTAGCTGGCCCTGATTGATTCATGCCTGGAATTTGTCTGTTTTCTGAGTTGTGTTCTTTGTTTACTGACCTGGTTTTAGAGGTTTTTTAAATCTCACCCAAGACCAGGCATGTAGCTGGGGGTGGGGGGGCTTGAGGGGCTTCAGCCCCCCCCCCCAATTCTCATGGTGGTCGCCTTACTGGTACATTATTTAAATTGTTATGTTTATTCATATCATGATCTGATCACCATGCTCAATATATCCCATATGCATGAGGCTATTGGGATAATGATACAAAAGGTTTGCTAGGGTAGATCCTTCCCCCCCTTGAATCAAACTCAGCCCCCACCCCCCGAAACAAATCCTGGCTACGGGCCTGCTGGATATTATTCCAGATATATAAACCCCATTTTTCTAGTTTCCAACAAACCTCACAACCTCTGAGGATGCCTGCCATAGATGTGGGTGAAACATCAGGAGAGAATGCTTCTGGAACATGGCCATACAGCCCAGAAAACTCACATCAACCCAGACTGCAGGTGTTTTTCTCCATTGGGCCCTTCAAATCAGATGAGATGTGTGTGTGTGTGTGGGGGGGGGGGGATAGTTGGGAGGGACCCCTAAAAACCATCTAGTCCAAACCCATTGCCATGGAGGAACCTGCTGCCAAAAAATAATAATAATCCAATTTTCTCCATCAGGCTACAGGTGATGGTTTCCTCCCTTGGGAACCAGCAGTTGGGAGAGATCCCCAAAGGCCATCTAGACCAAACCCCTTGCCATGCTCTCTAAATATTCAATTTGCTCTCTTTGGACACCTTCTGCAGAGGTGATTCCGTCACCTTCCAAGGTGTGCTGTTACCAAAGGTCTCGGGAATGAACGGAGGCTTCATCCCTGTCTCACCCACTCTCTTTGTTTTGACATTGAGTTTTGCACTGAACCCCCCCCCCCCCTCAACTCAAGACTCTGCTTCTAATTTGGGATACATATAGAGAAGGGAATCAAAGAGGTGGAAAGGAACATGTCCTTATGAAGGAGAGACCTCCAAGCCCAGCTCGGTTTTTGAAAAACCAAGGCAGCAGTGGCTTTCTTCCTTGGCTAGAGTTGATCCATCCCTTTCAATTTAAGTTGCTTCACTCTCGGGTTGCATTGTTAAAGCTGCAAACCAATAAATAACCAGGTTGCTGTGACTTTTCCAGGCTGTCTGGCCATGTTCCAGAAGCATTATCTTCGGACGTTTCTCTCACACTTGCCTAGTTTCCAACAGAACCCTCAACCTTTGAGGATGCCTGGCATAGATGTAGGCAAAATGTCAGAAGAGAATGCTTCAAGCAGACAAGAGTTTCTCCCACCCTGGGCATTCCACAAATATATTAACCTCACTTGCCTAGTTTCCAACAGACCTCACACCTCTGAGGATGCCTGCCATAGATGTGGGCAAAACGTCAGGAGAGAATGCTTCTGGAACATGGCCATACAGCCTGGAAAACTCACAGCAACCCTTTATCCTTGCTCCCCCCCAGTCCTTTAATCCTAGACAACACTAAAAAAAAGGGGGGGGGGAATTCCAGACAGCAAACAATCAGGGCCAGCTAACACCTCCCAACAAAGGATTCATCCAGGCAGGAAGCAGCCAGGCTTTGAACCTGCAAGGCCTTTTAGTGTTAATCAAGGTGGTCATTTGCAACATTCAAGCAGACAAGAGCTCTTTCTCCTCTCCTGGGCATTCCACAGGTATATTAACATCACTTGCCTAGTTTCCAACAGGCCTCACAACCTCTGAGGATGCCTGCTATAGATGTGGGTGAAACGTCAGGGTAGAATGCTTCTGGAACATGGCCATACAGCCCAAAAAACTCACAGCAACCCAGTGATTCCAGCAATGAAAGCCTTTGACAACACAATACATAACCGATTGCATGGAATATACATTTTTTCTTATTTAAATTATAAATATTGCAAAATTACGTTTATTTTTTTTCGAAGTTGACACCCCACCCAAGTTATGCTCAGGTTTTTGGCAAATTTTGACACACCAAGCTCAAAAGGTTGCCCATCACTGATCTAGGGTCTTGTTGGATACAAGGAGCTTTGCTCAACTTGAGGTGCATTTACACTGTAGAATGAATCTAGTTTGATACCACTTTAATTGCTATGGCTTTATGCTCTGGAAACCTAGGAGTTGTAGTTTGGTGCGGCACTTGGACTCTTTGGCAGAGAAGGCTTATATAGTGTAGATAAGGTATGGGTGAACTTGGGCCCTCCTGGTGTTTTGGACTTCAACTCCCACAATTCCTAATAGCCTCAGGCCCCTTCTTTTCCCCCCTCAGCCTCTTAAGCTGCAATACATTTTAGAGAAAGATGGAAATCATTCGAAAAGAAAGTCTGTTCTATCCGTGACTTCGAAAGTGCACACCAGATATAGGTAACATGTGGCCCTACGATGGTTTTTGTGGCTCTCAGTCCATCCAAAATCCCACAAACACATTTTATTCCTGGCACTAAAGAGAGAAAGAGTTTTTTGTCTTTCCCAAACATCTTCAAGTGTGGATCTTGCCCGCACAAATAGGTGATAAGGTACTTCATCACGCTAGAGAATGAATCCTCTTTAAATCCGGTTTCTGCCTCCTGCAGAATTCTGTAGTTTAGTGAGGCTGTTAACGGCTCTGTCCTAAACTACAAATCCCAAAATTCTGTAGCAGGCAGAAACTGGATTTGAAGTCAATTCATTCTCTAGTCTGATGAGGTTTAAGTTCCCTCTGCGGTGTTCATAATTGAAAAGCAAAATGTTTACTTTTTGTTTTGCACTTGGATTCTGTCCCCATTGGTTCAAGGGGGCTTTGGAGGGTCATTGAGACAGGAAATAGCCACCTGGAACTATCTAGGAATACACCTTGTCTTCCAAAATTGCACCTTAACCGTGTAAGATGTGGAGTTTGTATGAAATGCATGAGAATGCATCAACCCCATATCTGCTGTCATGCAATGTAAACAAAGGCCACCTTTGCCTCATGGGGGTGCATCTATCCAAGACATGGGCAAACTTTGGCCCTCCAGGTAGTTTGGACTTCAACTCCCATCATTCCTAACAGCCTCAGGCCTTTTCCTTTTCAGGACAGTCACCCGCACCCTATTTGCAAATAAATCTGTACGTTTTTTTTCTATCTCCTCTGCCTCCGGGTTTTGCCTTCTTGGAAAGGGGCATCGCATCCGAGTCCCTTCATTTTGGCACCCAGAGCCCCCGGTGGCGCAGTGGGTTAAACCCCTGTGCCGGCAGGACTGAAGACTGACAGGTCGCAGGTTCAAATCTGGGGAGAGGCGG